AGAAGAATTATTTTGACAATTTGTTCAACACAGTGATGGATGTTAAAGGTAAGACAAAGGATAACCCGAAGGCTAGAATGGACTTACAAAAATATTGCAGGCGGCCTGAATTATACTTGCAGACAGCAAACAATGGTAAGATATTCAAGCCCAAAGCAAGTTACACATTCACTTTGGAGAAAAGACGGAAAATTTGTGATTGGGCAACAAAATTGAAGATGCCTGAGGGTTATGCATCGAATCTTGGGAAAAAAGTTGATATGGAGGTAAGGAAGTTGAGCCATTTGAAAAGTCATGACTGTCATGTTATCATGGAGACCTTAGTGCCTATTTCGTTTTGTGGTTTGCCTGAAAGAATCTGGAAACCCATCACAGAGATTAGTTTGTTTTTCAAAGACTTGAGTTCTTCCATATTAAGGGAATAAAACCTACTCTGGATGGATCAGAACATTCGTGTAACTTCTAGTAAGATGGAAAAGATATTTCCATGTGGGTTTTTTGATGTGATGGAACACCTTCCAATCCACCTTGTACACGAGGTACAACTTGGAGGGTCTGTTCAATGCAGATGGATGTATCCCTTTGAGAGGTAATATTATAAGTTTTATGTAGTTTTCTGTTTTATTTGAATGTTCTTGGATAAACTGAAATTATGTAGGACAATTGGCAACTGAAAACAATTTGTTTAGTAGCGGAATAGGATTGAAGGATTTATATGCGGAGCTTATCTTTCAAAGGAAACTGCTCATTTTTGTTCTTATTATTTTGAGAGTAATGTGCCATGTGCTAGGAATAGGCCCAATAGGCACACAGTCGAATGCGTGAATGATCCATTATATCCGCCTATGTCCATATTCTTTCAACCAGGCTGATGTTCTAAGGATGTTAGAAAGAGATGTTTGAGTGATATGGAGTACAAGTCAGCTACACTTCATGTGTTGCTAAATTGTCCTGAAGTTGTACCATTTCTAAAGTAAGTATTAATTTAGTAGTTATCAAAATATAAAATTTACTGTGATTACATCTCAATGCAACTACTAAAAATATGTGATGTGTCACAGTCACTTCGTGGGGCAATTTGGCCATGATGTTGTATATACGACATTTGATACGTGGTTCAAACAATTTGTAAGTTTATCCTTAAAATATTCTAACACTATGTAGGTAAACAATGTTTGGAAGTTATGCTAACTTATGAATTTTTTTAACAATATGTAGGTAAATGATCCAAATAATGGTATAAATCAATTTTTGAAAGATATATCTTAGGGACCTGAGCTTCAGGTCACAACAATGTCTAAGTACGTTGTGAATGGTTATAAGTTCCATACAGAGGAGTGATCTAAAAATAAAAATAGCAACAAAAGTGGGGTGTGGGTTCAAGGTGGTGATGACAACCAAGTTGGAGATATTGATTATTATGGTGTGCTAAAAGAAATAATCGAACTAGAATATACAGGTTGGCCATTTAAGAAATTGATACTCTTTAGATGCAAGTGGTTTGACCCAAATCCAACAAGAGATATAAGAGTACACAATCAATACAACATAATTGAGGTTAATCATACGAGGGAGTATGATCACTATGATCCTTTCATAAATGCACATAATGTTAGGCAAGTGTATTATGCTCCTTATCCATTGCTGCGGAATAAGTCCGATTGGTGGGTTGTA